TAGTTATGAGTTAAGCTCATAAGATATGCATTTATTATGCAAATAACCTCGTTCAGCGGGCACCACCTCTTGGAGAGGAAAATAAATCAGTCTCTACCCTCAAATGTAACTGAAACGTGAAATCTTGCTCGTGTTTAAAGAGCATTAAATCAGTTAATACACACAGATATGTCAAAATAATCACAAATTTAGTTGATTTTTATGTATTTTATTACAAAAATAATACTCTGATGAAGGTTGTTCATAAAAATTAATACATAAATTAATAACAAAATTACCTTGTGTCAAAGGTTATTTTATTATTAAAATCCAGTGTAACTTCTTATAAAAGGCAGAACCTTGGACTAACTTAACTGTGGTGTATCTAAATTAATGTTATTGTGAATGTCTGATCACCAGAATGTGCATTGAAGGGTCTCTCTCACCAGAATAAACTGTCAGAATGTCCACAACTGCTTATGATGATACCAGCAAGGCCTGAGAGGCTCCGTTGACTGAAAGGCGGATTGTGTTCTCAAAAGTCACCGATCACCGTTGGAGGGACAAAGGTCCGGCCACTGGCTCTGAAGTCAGCTGGGATTTTATCACTCTGCGGTGATTGATGTCTCTGGTTCAGATCTCACTCTAATGCCAGGTTTCTCTCGTCCTGAGACATTTGCAGAAAAGCTTCTTCCCTGGACATCTCACTAGGGAAGAAGTTGAAGTGGCTTCATGTAGAAGGAGTGGTGAAGTGTGTAGAAAGTGGGAGAAGAACTGAGAAGTGAAATGTCTGTCTGGGTGTTACAGATTGACTTAGGACCTCCCACCGGACAAGATATGGTTCATAAACTCTGTCATGTTTTAATATAAAATAACAGTCCATTTTAGTTGTCTGCCTTTTAAAAAGCCACACTTGTTTTAAAAGGAGAAAAATAAACATGATTACCTTAGAGAGGTTACTCTAACACAGACACCTTCTATGACACATTCAGTTCTGACACTGTGAAAAAAACATGTAATGTTTGCCCAACAGGTTTCGCTGTTCATCTCCTGAAAAGAGAATGTTATTCTGAAACAAAGGCTTCTTTTAAAACTGTTATCTCCATGGGAAAATCCTGGGAGTAAACTCCTCGGCAGGTGTTTCAATTCGACGTCAAAAATGAACCACAAGCTCCCATTAAGACGATCTGTTCGTTTCGTGGGAAAGGAGTTCACATTGAAAATGAAGTTAACACAATGACAGTTTTTCATTACATTAGATTAGTGTCAACTAAGGAGTTTGTAAACTGAGTTTAACACCTGTAAAGTAAAGTCTGTTTGTTCCCAAGGGAATAAATGCATCTTATTTTAACTGTAGACCATAAAGTGAAAAAGAATAGTGAGAATGAAGTTCAGAAAGCATGAAAATGTGGAGGTATGCACTTGAAAGAAGAGGAATAAAAGACTGCTGTAGCAAGACAGAGTACGTGTGTGAATGAGAGGGAGGGAGGTGAGGTTACAAAGAGCAGAGGTCACAAAGGTGCAGGACTTAAAGTAGTTACGGTCCACTGTGCAAGTAAACATGATAAAGAGATGGAAGATTTGAGTCCAAAAAGGATGGAGTACATGGCAAAAAAGTTTCTGGATTGATTATGATTTAAAAAGGTGGCAGCAAAGGTCAAAGGAACGGTTTATAAGAGAGTAGTGAGACCAGCTAAGTTGTATGATTTGGAGACAGTGGCATCAACAAAAAGACAAGAGAGAAATCTGGAAGTGACAGAGCTAAAATATTCAGATTATTCTTGGAAGTGAAAAGAATGGATAGGATTTGTAATGAGATAGTCAGTGGTAAATTCAAAAACGTTCAAGACTAAACAACTGGACTTTATTTGTAACAGAAGACGTTTCACTCCTCATGCAAGGAACTTTCTTAATCCAAAGAGCAGAGTGTGTGGGATTCAGGTTTTAAAGCTGAGATAAGATACACATACATATGTAGATTGACATATCACACCTCACACCTTAACAGTAGGGGTTTCTTAAGTCAGTGGTAGTCAGTGGTAGAGCAAAGGTTGAACAACGGGAAGATAAAGTTAAAAAGGCCAGACTGAGATGGTTTGACATGTATAGTGTCAGGATGGTGCCCTCTGGTGACTAGTTTCTGTCCCTGCATGCCCTGGTGTCCATTCTAATAATTAGCCCTTATCTGTGTCACATGTGTGTCCTGTCCAGGTGTTTGTGGTGTAGTGAACTCGGCCTCCGGTCAAAACCTGCCTCTGAAGACCTTCATGGGACAGGAACTGTTATTTCATTGATTTGAATCCAGAAATACAAATTAGCTCATCCAGAGACTTTCTAATTGTATCCTGAACTAATCAATTGAAAGAACACTGTCTTTTTTATATTATCATTACTATTTTACAATATCTTGATAATCAAAAGTGTGTTTAGTTCATACCATTTTAAATGTTGAAATGAACTACTCATTTTAAATCAACTGTGAAACAGTATTAATGATTTCAATCCTCATTCAAAGTAGAAATCAAGTTAAATGTCTGTTACAAAGTAATTATGCATTTTTGATCTTCTGTCTGAAACAAGAGTGATGTCGGTCAAAAGTCAGAGAGAGTCCGAAGCAAGTTATTGGAACGAACTGTCATGTTTTTAAACCTCTCAGACAGAAACAAGAAAACTGGCACCTGTAAGTCTGTCATTTCTCCAAAACATTTCTCTATCTGTTCCTAAACATCTCCGCTGTTTTTCTGACTTGTAATGACCCTCTGACGTCACTAAAACCACACCCTTGTTGGTTCTTTCAACCAATCAGGACTTCCCAAAAGTGACCGGAAGCAGAACTCTTTAAAAGTCGACACTTCCTAGTTCCAGGGAGAACAGAAGTTCCGAAAGTTAAGTTCGGAGGGAAAGGGCTAGTTCTGAAGTTCTAGTGCCTTGAGAAAGTTCTGAAGTGCTGGAGTTAGTTTGGAGCTCTTCCGAGTCTAGTTGGGATTATGGAACCTTCCACATCTGAGTGGAACCGCTGACAGACTCACAGCTCATGTGAGTCCACCCGGGAGGTGAGCGTGTTGTTGAACGGAGTACCGTCACTACTTCGGACGATTCTCAGCCATCCTAAGGAGACGCTGAAAGGTAGCATTGAAACGGAACTCCGTACCGGAGCTGACCTATCTTCTGCAAAGGTAACGAGTCGCTTCACTACCGAGTGTACCGAGGCTGAGCTGGGGTCGGATGGAGGGTGCCGTTCCTCATCAACACACTTTCCCTCATCCATCTTTTCTCTCCATTTAAACTCCTTCATTTCCCATCTTTAAAACTCTTCTATCTTGCCAGTAATTAATCCAGATATCTTTAGAAATATCTGTTGTTTTTATTAAGTAAAACGTGCTAAGTTTTATTACTCAGAGCCGATAGTATAATCAAGTGTACAATGTTTTGATGTTAAATTTTGATTCTGTTAATAAATGACCACATTCATTTTGATGGGTCAAAGAAAATTAATGTCTCATGTCACTGATTAGACCATCTCCCACACAGTACCTCTGTCACGTATCTGTCAAGTAGCTCGAAAAAGTGAGAACCCGTTATTAAAAATTGACTGTAGTGGAGCTCTTAAGCTAACTGAAGCTAACCTAGCCCTACATCACTACAGTGGTTATGTCTTGTTAGCCTCTGTATATAAGTCTGCGTTTGTGTGTCATTCTTTGTCTGGGCATCGTCTAGTAAAGCCTCCTGAGTCCCTAGGGATTCTTCATGTTGTCTACGTGCTTCTGGAAATAAGTTTTGCTGCCTCATCAGCTTGTTTATTTTGTATTAAAGTGTTTTTCATTTTACCACCTGGTCTCTGAGTCCTGCCTGCACCATTGGGTTTGACCTGCCTCCAGATCATGACATATACAAGAGGGACAGTGGGTATATTGATAGAAGGATGTTAGAAATGCAAATGCCAGTAAAATGATCTAAAGAAAGGCCAAAGAGGAGAACCTGTAGGAAAGAACATGGAGGTAGTTGAACTGAGCATAGAGGATACAGAGGACATAGTGGGATAAAGGACAATGATTTGCTGTGGTGACCCCTGAAAAGGGAACAGTCCCCCAAAAAATATGAAAACTTGTAATTGTTTATCTGTTTGATGGAGTATAAGAAAGGTAAATCATGTGTATTTAGTCAATCAAGCAATGTTTCAAAATCCTGTAAAATACAGGAACCTGGAAAGCCAAAAATATGTAAAATAATTGAAAACCTATATACATCACAAGACAACAGGGAAGCAATATTCAATTTGCAAAATAGTTAACTATGACAACTGGAAGCTAAATTTCACTGCTGCTTTTTTTTCTAGCACCAAAACCATATTTATTTTAAACCTCTACTCAAATATGAAATGGGTTGTTACAATGGTCACCAACTGTTACCTGAAAAACCTTTGGTGCAGAGATTAGGAATCCAAGAGCAGAGGACAAGCTGGCTGCAAAGACTCCAGCTGTGATGAGGTAGTAGAAACCAGAAACTTGCCCCAGTACCTGGTTGGAACATTTATTTTGCAGACTTTACCAAATTCTACTGAAGTCATAGTATAGATGAAACTTTCAATAGTTACAACAGTTTTAAAAATATCAACAATATTTATGAAAAGTCAAAATTTATGTTATTGCACAATGACTGTTGAAAGACAATGGATCCTTACCTTCACACTGTTGGCGAGCCCATATTCACAGGACTGGGACTGGATGCAGTTTGTGAAGTTCCAGCCCATATTACATGCCAGTCCCACACAACCATCAGTGTTGTTACCAGTCAGGATGTCACTTGTATTCCCAGAAGCATCCCGTACTACACATGCTCCTGGAAGAAAATGAAGACTCCTGGTTAAGCAGAGGAAACAAACAGCAGCTGGTTTATCTCATCTGTATTTTTTTTCACAAAGTGATTGTTATGATCTTTTGACGTGTTTTTATTTTATTTATTTATTTAGTTTTTAACAATGTTATCTCACTTGTTACAGAAACCTCTAACCTGAATTTGGGGTGGGGTGGGGGTTGGGGGGACTGTCAATTTTGAATGGTTGATTTGAGTGAGGCCAAGACAAAAGCAGATTGCTACCATCTTCAAACTACACATATCTAAAAAAAAAAAAAGCATGAAATTTTACCATTTTCTATTAAAATTAACATAGTCATTATTTTCACATTTCAGTTTTACCAGAAATATTAGGATTTTCTTGCAGGAAGAAACCCTGGTTGCGCCAGGAGTGCTACAAATAGGGTCTGCTTTTTGTGTTCAGAAAAAAATCACAACCTATTGTGGTGGTATTCAAATAGTGATCACATAAACTGCTATGAAATATTTGATATTGATTTGTTACAGCAGAAATCCATGTCATTCTTGGCCCCGCTCTGACTAATCATTAACACTTAAATCTAATTAGAAATATTGTACTGTAAGCAACAATGTGCATGCTCAATCATCCAGGTACCAAATCCAATAATTCTCAGTCAGGTCATCTGGACAGTTTCTTTTTTTTATTGAGACATTTCACCCTCTATCCAGAGGGCTTCATCAGTCTGAGGAGTTCCAGTAAACTGTTTCCCCACCAAGCAGTAAACTCCTTAAGTGGATCAATCAGTTTTCTGGAGCCAAGATGGTTTCTGGGGGCCGTCCTATCCCTCATCGGTCCTCCCAACAGGCAGCCACAGCCAAAGTGGTTCAAGGTGTTGCTGGTTGGAGACTCAGCTCGTGACAACGGGAGGACCGAGATCATTCCCCGACATCTTCAGCTGTCTGTCTGTAGCAACTAGGAGCTCAGCAGACTGCTAGGAGGAGTGTCCATCACTCAGGGAGGAATTCTGTCCGGCATTCGTGCAGTCCTGCTGCCCAGGAGGACTGAGAGGCCCGCTGGATCTGACAGCAAGCTGGATCCGGGTGGACGGATCAGTATCTGTGGCTATATTCTTCAGATTTGCTGCAGGAGATCCTGCCCACAGCTATCAGCATCAACAACTCTTGAATGAAATCAGGATTATGAGCTACAACAACACTTAATTTCCCTTTGGGATTAATAAAGTATTTTTGAATTGAATTGAACTGAATTGAATTGAATTCTGAGACGAGAGTTTATCCTTGAGACTGACCATTGAGCCTTAAAATTGTTGGAGGCCATGAAGGACACTTCTTCTTCTTCTTCTTCTTCTTCTGGCTTTTCCCTTTTTTTCCCTCTTCAGGGGTCACCACAGTGAGTCATTCTCCTCCTTCTCACTCTGTCCTCTGCATCAGCCGTATTACACAATTGTTCCTGGTCCTTCAGCTTTACCGAGTCAAGATATGCCACATTCCAAGAAAACAAAATACAGTGGCAGAGACTTGTCTCACTGTGAATACAGCGGGTCTCCTGAAGGGGGGGGGGGGGGGGGGGGGGGGGG